AAGTAGCCTGACCAAGAATCCAAATTATTTTTGTATTAATTATTTTTGTTGCTTTGTTATTGATTATTGATTTTTTACTTTGATGCATTTTGTTTTTTGCTTCTATAGTTTTGGTAATCAAGGGTCTGGGTTTTATCACCTCGACTTCAAAAGGAGACACAGAGTAATGTGAAGAGTGATGAGGATCGCTCTGCCAGTGTCATGCCCCTCCCTCCCTCCCTTCCAAAACACACAGAGCTTGAGTGGACTGGAACATTGAGTACCTTCAGCAAATTTTTTACATTCCCCTTTGAGGATCTCCACCTCGCCCCCCACCACCCTATACACACAGGCACACACAAACACTTGCTACAGGGTCAGTAATGGCATTAAGCCTGTTTTGTCTACCGCACTGAAACGTTCACCACTACTGTGTGTGTGTATGTAAGGTTTACTTCTGCACACTGTTGTGTTTGTGTGTCATTGTGCTCACCTGTTTCCCTTTTATTCCCCCTTCTTCTCTGCAGCAGCGGTGCGAGTGGTGAGCAGCAGCAGCAATGACAGAGTACAAGCTGGTAGTGGTTGGCGCTGGAGGCGTGGGCAAGAGTGCACTCACCATTCAGCTAATCCAGAACCACTTTGTAGATGAATATGATCCAACCATAGAGGTACAACTTTTGATGATGATTTATTAAAGTACACAGTCCAAGGTCCCTGCTAAAACATGGACGGAAACATGGGATGAAAAGTCCATTCCAGACTGTATTTAAATTTAACAGTTAGAATGATGCACATATTGTTTAAATCTTTATTTATTCATTTTTTAATATATATTTTAAATGACTTACTTTTTGTTTTTTTTATTATAAGATGTAGACATTGTCAAATAGAAACTGAAGCCAGTGAGAATGTTTTCTTCTCCTTCCTCTCCCTTTCTCCCTCTCATTCTCACCACGCCTGCCTGTGGCTGTGGACAATGTTCTTTTTGTGCATTTGCATTCCTGAGCCCTATACTCTCACTAACTAAGGGGCAGCACTCCATGTTTTTGTGGCTGTGCGTTGGAAGGCCAAACATTGGCTCTGATACCCTGCTCTACTGATTCCATTGTACCCATTTGACCTGGATGAGCAGAGGGAGTTAATATGAAATATCAGTGAAAGGATATAATGTTGACATTAGGACGGTCATGGTGCTTAAGACTAATTTGCCAAGATGAAAAGCTCCAAGTGATTTGGTTAAGTCTGTGTTATGTTAACAGACTTTAACTTAGTTTCTGACTCTTGCTCTAATGTCTCTTGTGTTAGATTAAATCTTTACAAACCTTTGTTTGACATGGACTCAATTACTCCTTTGTAAATAAAGGTGATGGAAATGTATGGAATAAGATGGAATTCAGTACCAGAATGCGGCAAAAATGCTCCCTCTTTATTGGTATTATATTGTGTATTCAAATATTTACAATATATTGATATTCACAGAATTTGAGTTGATACAGTTGACCATAGAATTCTAAAAACAGTGGAAAACACATGTGGATGTGTCAAAAACCGTTCAAATTATACCTGTTAAAAAAAAGTATATATAAAAATATTTTATACTTGTATTAATATTTGTACAACATTTCAGTTATCATCAACAGCAAAGATAAGAGCATAGTTAAATCAAATCAATGTCAAATGCACCAACAGTCAGTTAGCCATCAACTCATATTTACATGTCTCAAGATAAGATTGAGTATGACTGTGTAAAAGCCATTACCAGAGGAACAATTACATTAGTTTGACTTCAGTAGTCCATCACTAATAATTGGTATGAGTGTTGTTTTTTATTTGTTTGTTTTTCACTTCAGGACTCATACAGGAAACAAGTGGTCATTGACGGGGAGACCTGCCTGCTGGATATCCTTGATACTGCAGGTCAGGAGGAGTACAGCGCAATGAGGGACCAGTACATGAGGACAGGCGAGGGTTTCCTCTGTGTGTTTGCCATTAATAACACCAAATCTTTTGAGGACATTCACCAGTACAGGTTTGTTCAGGCACAGTCATCTCCAGAAATGTTATCAATCACCCATCTACAATTGTTTCTCGTTAAGGGTTGGGTTTGTGAGATAAACCAGTTATCACATGTTTGATGTGGTACATCATATACTACTGTTCAACAAAATGTCAAAGGTGTAAAAGTGGATTACTGTGTCAAAGTAAGGATCTTTTGGAGTAGTAAAAAAATGCAGTCCCCAGGTTTAATGTCTGTGCACTGTACATCACAAACCCTTGTTACTTGTTACCTTATTGCTGAAACCTCTTTAGTATTTAATTTTTCTGAATACCGGTAAATGCATTTTTGAAAATACATCATTTAAGTACACCTGACTTGAGCTTAATTGCTAAAAAGACTTTTTTAAACATATATTTGAAATATGAAGAGTTTGTTACAAAAGATTGTGCAGAGCACATTTTACACATTATCCATTTCTGTCTCAGAATTACAACAAGCACGATTAATAAAAACAAAAAACATAACAGACAGGTATCCATTTGTGTAGTATAAGGTCAATGAAGTTGGGTCAGTCAGTAATTACGCATCTTTCACTGTGTCATATTGTATCCACTTTTCCCATTTAGTCACAAAGACATTTTCCTTTAGTCTACAGTAAGTCAGTAGGTCAGTCTTTCCATATTACAGGCCTCTCTTATAATTTCAAGCCACTGACTTATGGTGGGTGGTTCTTGTCTTGTACCAGTATCTTCTGTAGTACAAGCTTTCTTACACGTGACCTAAATAAAATGTATTATTATTATTATTATTATTATTATTATTATTGTCTGAAACATACTTATTGAAAGTTCCCAGGCACAAACTCTTGGGAACCAGTTTGTTAACTTTTCACTTTAGGTGTAATAAAACAACAAGTTGTTAAGCCATTCTCCTGGGGTAGCTGAAAAGATTTTAAATAGTTGTTTGAGCTGCAGATGTGAATGTGTCAACTTTTTATTCTGCCCAAGTGACATGCCAGTTGGGAGGCAGCAAAGACACAAAATGCATTCCTCATTGTTGATTGCCTTCCAAGTGTTCAGTTCAGTTGGTGTTGCATCGACTCCCTGGAGGCCAGGGGAAAGAGCTGTGTGCTTATGTACAATATACGCACACATTACGAGCCGGCTCTCTGCAGCACAGCGTTGATGTCGTGCTGTAGTGTTTAACACAGCTTAGCCCCCAACTGGAGGATTAGAGAACGATGTCAGTGAAATCGATCCTGACTCAATTAGAGGTGCCGGAAAAGGCAGAGCTTCCAAGGACACTGAAGGAGAACAGTGTTCAGTGAGAGATGACAGTGTTCTCTGTCACGGCCATTTGGATTCAACAGTCTTGCATAAAACAGAAATGTTTAATATCATCTCTACAGATGTTTACATAGGTTTAATATGGTGTTCTTGGAGTGTTTTACTTTTGTTACAGTCCAGTCTTTTCTGGTTTAATTTTAACACACTGGCAGCAGTAGTTGTGCCAGCTGAATGCCAAATGCACCATGGGTGTTCCCACAAGTTGTTAAACGTCCTTGTTCCATTCTGGGTTTGTTTCCATACTGGTGGGGTGGGCGGCATACGGTGCCTTAAACGGACAGTAGAAACTCTGATAATAATCTCAGACTGCAACGTAAAATTTATATTTGATTTTTGATGGAGTTGGAATTTTTGCTGTAGCATTAATAACCTTCTAATCTTCACTTACACAGACATTATAGTGTTGTCACAAACACTGTTAGCAGTGTTGACTGTAAATGTGTGGAGCTGACTCCGATGAACATGTCCTGCTGCTCTCTGAGAGAGGAGGGCTAAACTGATTGCTTTGACCCACACTCCTCTCACTCAGTTTGCCTTGGCTGCCTGGCATTTTGGCACAGGCCGCTGTAATGATGAGGTAATGCTGTTCACAGCCTGCCTGTTGTTTATCCCTTCCCCTCCCTCCATTCCAGCCCTACCTCCCTCAGCAGTGCAGCACAGCCCAGCACCGCTGGGTCCCAGCTCTTCCTCAGGGTCCTAAAGCTCCCTCAGTGTTTGACTATCCAGTTGCAGAGCTGCTGTTGTTTATAAAGAGTCCTCGTAATGAACACAGCTGTTCCATAGATCAAGGAAACAACTGTGCAAATGTCACCCATTGATTTTTCTCCTTTTTTTGCAATCCACAGAGAACAGATTAAACGTGTGAAAGACTCAGACGATGTCCCCATGGTACTTGTGGGAAACAAATGTGACCTCCCAGCACGTACCGTGGACACAAGGCAAGCCCAGGAACTTGCCCGCTCCTATGGGATACCTTACATTGAGACCTCTGCCAAGACACGGCAGGTACGTAATAAACAAGAAGCAATTGTTCACACACTATCGCACACAAATCTCCACTGTGATGACAGTACAGATGCCTCAAAGATTTCAAAAGTGCTGCATTTATAGACTGATATTCTCACACACACACACACACACACACACACGTAGAGCGCAGACAGGTCCATGTTATAACGTGATCTGTGTTGCTGGGAACATTTTCTTATGGTGCAGCCAATGACTCATAGCCAGGTTACCTTGGCTAAAGAACAGTGCTACAGTATTTGAGAGACATCATAAGAACAAGTCACTGCACAGCTCCCACTGTCTCTGACTCACACTCAGTGTAGGTACATACAGGCACTTATCGGTCACCTAACATCTACTCAAATGTATGTAAAACATTTTGTCAGACAACAGATGGACATCCAAAGAGATCAGACTATTTTCTAATCATTTTTATATCACAGTTTTTGATTAGGGGTTGCTACTATGGTAACACAAAACAGCAAAATTTCCTCATGTTCATTGAAATCCACGTAAAAAATGTGTGCGTATGCATGTGCGTGTGTTTGTCAACAGGGAGTAGAGGATGCCTTTTACACATTGGTCAGGGAGATCAGGCAGCATAAGCTGAGAAAGCTGAACCCACCTGATGAGAGCGGTCAGGATTGTATGAGCTGTCGCTGTGTGGTATCATGATGCAGGTGAGGAATTCTCCATGTTGTCTTTGACAGTTACACTTAAAGCCCTGACAAAGTTTTAATTGCTGTAATTCCAATGTCTGATTTTGGTGACAACACAGTTTACATGAACTACTTCTGTTTACACATCTACACATTTGAAGTACAGAGTCACAAAAGAACATTTTGTGCTCTGCCTGTGCAGTGTAGCGTCTGTGAGTAGATTGTGATCTACTTCTTGGGCAGCTCTCCTGTACTCCTGAAAAAAAGTAAAAGCAGTATTGTGTTTCCTAATGTGGCCCTGTTTTCTGTCCACGTTGTGTGTCCACAGCTGACCGTTGCATGTTCAGGTATGACATGGGAGCATGGACTACAGACAAGATTGGAAGAAAAAATAACAAAACAACACAACTATGAGATGTAAACTTTTTTATAAAGAGCTTCATTGAAACGAATGCTCTCAAGCAAACAATAAGAGCTGACTGAACCGTTGAGAATTTATGATGAAGAGGATTTTGGATTGTTGCCTAAGTGGCTGGCTGAACTGGCCTCTTCTGCTCCCTTTCTTTGGTCCATACGTCCACACGTGAGCAGCAGCACCAAGGACTCGGTCAACTCCAGTGTGGGTCGCTTCACAAGTTTTCTGCTAACTTAATGTTCTCAGTCTCAACACTGGTCTTAATAGGGGTGTCATTTTTCACCCTTTTTTTTTTTGAAAGCCTACTTCCATTTCCATCATCTGACATCAACATGGACTGACTGGCCTAAATGGAATAAGACAGGAATGGACAAGAAGTTGACCCAACACCTCTTGCATAACTTTAAACATCACCGTGTGTCTAGACTTAATTTTATGGATTTCACAGAGTGAAGGTTGATGTGGGAATCACACTTTTGTTGTTGTTGTTGGTGGTGGTGAGTTAGCCTAGCTGTGAAAAATGATTGTTTTTGATATTCAACAAATATTTTAGATCTGAGGTTTATGAAAGTCACTGAGCTGCGTGTGTGTTTCCAGTGACTGCTGGTTTGACTTTTTTTTTTCATTTCAGGGTCCATGTCTTGAAAGGAAAATGTTAAATGATGAATTTCAATAATTGAGCTACCTTCTTGCCGATGTGGATAATAATAATTATAGTAATGGCTACTGTACATAGGTTCTGGTGCAATAGATTTCTCATGCCCAATTTATAAGTTTTGCAACAAACCACCTCTCGTGACTACTGCATTACTGTTTGACTTTGGCCTAGTGAGAAGGATTTGTGGATGTAGTAGCCATCTTTGCATTAGCCCAAGCTGAAAAAGTATTTCTGGTTACAGAAAAAAAAGAGGAGAGAAGCCCAATTCTTGTACAGTCTCAGCCAACAAGATTTCTTTTTTGTCTAATTCACTTATTGCAGGTTGTAGAGAACTTCCATCCTGCGTTATAGTAAGTTATTTTTGTAGAGTTACTCCTTACGTTTTTCAAGACTCAGGACTGAGCTTTGAGAAAGGTGTCATCAGTCCTGAAAACCAGGGTTTGGGAGAACACCTGATGGCTTTGTGGTGTCCAACGCACAAGTCCTGCCTCAGAATTCAACCTCAGTTTTCCCACACACCACGCTATCCTCAATATACATTTTCTCTTTCACCTCAGCTCTTCAGATAAATGGAAACTGGACAACTGTTTTTTACACAGCAAAACCACATATCTGATTATGTCAGACTGTTGCTGATAATAAATACTGGGTTATAGGAGTGCAGTGCTTTATTTCTACACATTAGGAGCTTGTGCTCTCTGCAGTCTGCCTTATTTTTTTTCAAAGTTGTATTTCATGGGAGTAACACTCAGTTGTCAAATGTAGATATGTGCTGTACAGAAATTGAAAATAGGACAAGCCCCTACCAAAACACTACACAGATTTTTTTTTTTATAAGTAGCGGGGCCATGTGAATGTGAGAAATAATAATACAATAAACATTTAACCAAAATAATTTTTAAGCCAACACTCATAGAAAATGAATTTTAAAAAAACATTTTATCGTTTATAAATGGTTTAACTCCCATTATTATTGGTGACCAGTTGACAATGTCTGACTCTTACTTTTAAAACTTGTCTACATTATAATGTGTAGACTTTGAGTAACTAGAATCTGCATATCAGAAATGATCAAACCTTAAATTAAACTCATCAAATATTTGCCTTTTAAATGGTTTTGCACATTTTATAAATTAAAAACCTTCACGGTGTAGCCATTGTATTGATGATGGCATTTTTTGTTTTACATGCTACATTGAGGTAAGACATACATTTCAAAATTAAAGAACAGAGAATATCACAGCTCCCATTCTGAGCTGTGTTACATCTAAATTTAAGTTTTTCCCCATCCCACTTTGATCTTTTAGTAGTGTGTTTCATGTTATTACTGCCCTGATACTGTGCTTGTTGTCACCCTCTGAGTCATTTCAATGATTCATTCATAATTATGACTTAAGACATAAGAAACTATGCATTAAAGTAATCAAAAATACACACAGTCATGTTTCCACAGGGACACTGCAGCCAGAGAGCCACAGGTAACTTGAAAAGACTGTACAGACCATTGGGAGTTTTGCACAAGGATACAGTGTGCTCAAGGGCTTGTTTTCTTCCCTTGCAAACTGTGGAATGAATGTTTAAAAGGAATTTGTGAAAATGTCAACTGTTAACTATTTAAGATGTATTTACTCTGAAAAAAATGTGGCAAATGTAATACAGGACAGGAATAAAGATGTGGAGATGAAACTCTTTTCGATTTAATTTTACATATAGTACTTCTGCTTGAGATATGAGACTTTTCTGCCACCTACAGACTGTTTCACTAGTAAACGGTCAAGTTGTCTTTTCTCAATTTAACCAGAATATATGACACCTCCTGTACTTTCCCAATCACTTGACAGGATCATAAAAGTGCAGTGAAACAGTGAACAGCTGTGGTTCAAAGTCAATCCTCATGTTTACACAAGAGCTTTACCATCAGTTCCTTCATTTACAGGAAGTTGTTTGTTGTTGTTGTTCAGGGAAGAAGGAAACGTCAGTATTTCTGGAAACGTATCATTTTGAGCAATAAAATTATTGGTCGAGCATTCGCTTTTTTTAAGTTCAACCATTGTATTTCCTTTGGCCAGCATTCAGCGTGTAGCTTCACTCTCTTGGCTTGTAGGTGGTGCAAAGCATACATTTGAAAGTTGTTTTTTTCTAAAGTATTGTGTGATTTACTTATTATTATTAATAGTAGTAGTAGTGGCAAAACAAACCATATCAAATAAAAAATAAAAAAAAGATATAAGGAACCATTTAGGTTGATGACTTCCCTTTCTCCCATAGTCTCCAATAGTGCACAAAGACGTATGTTAGTGATTTAGCAGCATGTTATCTATGTACTAGAATGTAGCCTAATGATGACCAAAAGTACTGCATTAGTGGTGCTGCAGCAGGAAGTGTGTTTGTTCTATAGCCATGTAGCCCAGCTAACACTTTTGAGGGCAAATGACTTGCATCACGAGAGGCCGTCCAGTTACTGGCTTTCAACGGTCATAAAAAGATAAGTGTTTGTCTATAAATCCAGGGCAGATAGACAGACTGAACAGAGCAGAGGTGTGTAGGTGCTGTGAGAGATACAGAAGTATTATTCTCCCCTATTGGATTAACTGCAACCATGATGTTCTCTGAGGAAATGATCAGGAAAATGCTACCTAAGGTAAGAAGCTGCATAAGCATTAAAATATCTTCCTAAATAGATTATGATCCAGCCAATGTCTGTATAGATTTATTTTTGGATTTTTAATTTTTTTTTAAGACCTATTCACGCAAACATGTGGCTCGAGAAGTATTCATTGCAATAACCCACTTTGACACACTTGTGCCCATCGTGGATAAATATGGTAAGATTATTATTAACAGCTCGTTCAAATCCTGTGGAACGTCTTGATCATTTACAGTTACATGTTTACACAGTTTACAGTGATGGAACTGCAAAAAACCTGATGAGTCTGACTGGAACCCTGCCTGTCATTTATAATGGTAACTATGCATTTTTTGCAAATTTAGTTTCATTAATTTGTTACATTACACCTTTTTTCAGCCTAGATTTGTCATAATATCTACTGTGAAACTTTACTGTGAAATAAAAAGGAAATTAATCCTGACATTGTCTTGTCTCAGACAATACCCGTGCTATCAATGGATGAAATGTGAAATCGTATCCGAAAACACGACTCAGTTTTCAGTATATTTTTGTAATCAGCTCTCTGCATTTCATCTATATCAGGGGCCTCAAACTCAACTGGGCTGGGAGTCACTGTTGACCCCACTGTCTCATTGAGGGGTCAAACATTGACAGCATTCTTAGATATCAAGTTGTCTGAATGGTCTCATTGCTTAGTGGTTTTCTTCTTGGGCTTTTATTAGAAATACCAAAGTTCTCGCTATAATAAATATGTTAAATGCAAGTGATTTTTATTTGTAAATGCAGCTCTAAGCTCATCAACCTTTTATTTTTGATGATTATGTTATTGTTGATAATGTGGACTGTGGATATATATATATTTTTACATTGCTTCAAAAATCATGTTATGATTTAAATACCACGTACATAACACTTCAAACAAGAGTCACAAACAAAATGTGTCTTCTTTTTTGTACAAGACAAGACCTACAACATACCAGTGTGTACATGGATAGAGGAAAGTTACCCACAAACTGCTCCCATCTGCTACGTCAGACCCACTCGTGAGATGCTGATAGTCAAAGGAAAGTACGTCTCCAGCAATGGGGAGGTGGAGCTGCCTTACTTAGAAGAATGGAATAAGGTAAAAATGGGAACAGTTCATATCATTTATAAGCATGATTTTTAAATATAGAGAGTAAAAATTTTATTACTACTATAGCTATATATACAACTATATTCTATAGTTGTATATGACACAAATGTGTGTCACAAATTAAAAATCTTATACTTTATTCTTTAAATCATCGTGCTTCTTTACACCAACTGACACTGTGACACACCTTTGAGTGTACCAACCACCTTGTTTTACAGCCCCATGTGTTTTCATTCCTTCCACAGCGCAAATGCAATCTTGTGACCCTACTGCAAGTGATGGTTGCCATGTTCGGAGAGTTTCCCCCACTGTGTATGCGACCTTTTTCCGAGCTTGAACAAGCCTCATGTACGTAGCACTCGCAGGAAGACAGCAAAACGTCTGTGTTTATTCAGGCTGACTATAAATCTATGTCCCAGATACAGGCTGTTGTTGATGATGACAGGTCTCTGATACTGACTACATCTGCCTCACACGGCTCATAGCGCGTGAACCTTATAAACTGAAGAGGCAGGATATAACTGTCTGTAAATAAACATAGAGGCTAACGAGCACAGACTGACGGAGCATGTGTTTTTCTTTTAGGTCGGCATCAGTACCAAAGGCAAACTGATGTGTTTTCAAACGCAGATGGGAGTCTTTACATAAACATTCTTGGAGAAGACAATCGACCTTTTCAGCAACACAACGAAACAAATTGTTAGTTATTTTTTGCTGAGTTATTATGTCTGCAAATATTTTTTATTATTTCCTGTGAAATGTGTAATTCCACGTGTGATGTCAGATGGTATCCATTTATTGTTGGGGAGTTATAATAGTTGTATAAATGCCTGCTAAAAATCCATACCAGTTTTTTTTTGTTTTTTACTTTGGAACAAATATGTTTTTATATTTTTTTATCTAAGCAATAAATGTGTTATGGCTCTGTTCAAAGATGTGTGTTTATTGACAAGCTACTCATACAACTGTATTATCGTGCCAGTTTATAGCCTGTTCTTTTGAACTTTGAACCCGCTGTGATTCAGTGACAATATGCAAGCATCAGGTTGTAGTCCAAATTAAAATGGTATTCTCTCAGAAAATTTGAACTATAATAGAATGTAAAACAAATATTTCTGTCAGCTTTGTTGCAGATGTTGTGTGTAAAAATATGAATGTAACACAATAGTAAACAAAGAAAGGGCAATTCCTCTTGTATTCTTAAGTATATACTTTTGTCCAAAATATATTTGCTATGTTTGGTATTGTATGGATGCAGATGCAATTTAAGCAAATGTATTATATTTATATTTAAACATATATGCTACGTGGTAGCCTTTGGTCATGATTGAAAACACAAAAATAATACTTAATATTTTTTGCAATTCACGATGGTGTCCAGCGTAACGAAGACCCACCTTGAATGTTATTCGGAAATTAGATATATGCAACAAAAGTGCATTTGTGTCAACTACACTATGTATATTCTTGAAAATTAATTGTTTAGGTTTTAAAAATGTTATATGTAAAATATATTCCAACGCTCGTGCCTCAAATACTACATGCGTCATGCACAAACCGGAATCTGTCAGGTGCGCTACCGGAAATTCCTATTGTTGATCGTCGCTTGTATTTCTTGTCGGCCTCTCCCAATGCTGTGTCTCTATTTCTGATTTAAAAGGACTTTCCCGTATCCAAGTATATCCGCAACCCGAGCACCAAGCTTATAGGACTAGGACAAAACCATTAATTTGGCTTTACTATAGCCCGGCCCGTATTTGGGCTAACATTAGCTTAGCATTCGGGTAGGTCCTGCTGGCCAACACAAGCTAGTGTTTGCTGTCATTTTAGTTTGCTTAAGAAAAGAGCAGCCGGTTACTTTCACAGCTTTTCGAAAGGAGCGACATAAAAACAAGTTTCGACAAGATGGCAGTTGTCAACGAAACTGCATTGAGGAAAATGTTAAAGGTAAGCTTGCTACAGGAAAATGTTGCACTACTTTGCCATAGTAGCAACTTAGCTAAAGTTCCCGACTCCTAACGTGGCGCTGTAAAGTAGAGATATAATTATAAACCTTCTGAAGTTGGTTATTGATTTGCATTGTTGCATTGATGTAAACATACGATGTAAACAAGTGAATGGTTTCTGCTCTTGGTCAGAGATTATTAGTTATTTGTTCAAATACAGTTGCAGTTTATTTGTTCCAATACAGTTTCCTCATACTCCCTGCCAAAATAATTTTTAGTTACAAAACAAATAGCAAAACATTTGAGATGGATGGTCTCATCTTTATATTTACGGTTACCAATATAAGAAATGAGTTAACTAGTCACAGCATTGTCACAACATGGTTAAGAAAAACTAATATCCTCAGAAGACAATGGTGACGGGTGTTGGTTGAGCAGCTGCGCAAATATAATGCAAAGCTCTGCCTTTCTGTGAAGGTGTATACAACACTAAGGTGTTCACAACAATAGTATGGTTAAATGTAAAATGTATGTAAATGTTGAAATGTATATACCTAATCGCCAAAGCTAAGGAAAAATGCGTTCTTAGACCATATAGATTTTATTGTGAGAATAAATTTAGTAATCAGTGACCTTTGTTAGTTATTTCCTAGATATTTGACTTCCCTATTTTTTGTGTTAAAATATCTGCTGCAGTTGGTACAATTATACCTGTATGACTGTGAGGTTGTGAAGTTTGCAACACTATACAATGTTACGCCCTACCTGTAATATTGTAGGGTGTTGTTCTTTTAATAAACCATTTGTAAATAGGTTTTTAATAATCAAACTTTTTTGTTTAAAATCTTTTTCCAGCAATACAAAAACAAAGACATGACTGTACGTGAAATTACAAATGTTATCTCACAGTACAAAGACTTGAAGCCAGTAATGGATGCTTATGGTAAGTTAACAGGTATAACATCTTTTTTTCTGCATTTAAACCATAATATTATATGCATTATGGCTGTCTAGTATTATAAAAAAGAATACATATTCCTATCCTATATATTTCACTTATCTTCAATGACCTGTATTGGATTTTTGTCCTTCTTGTTGTTTTGTGTTTTACAATGCAAACTGTAAAAGAATGTCAGTTGTTCAACTAAACTTACCGCTACATTTTTAAAAATGTAACTTATTAATATTTAGTTTGACAATCACTTTTAAGATTATTTCTTAAACAAACAAATGTGTTTACATTTTACTTACATATTTTGTATTTTCAGTCATCTTCAGAAATAGTTTCCCATTACTTGTAGGAATATATTTATATAAATCCTGCTATTTATCTTGGTTTTCAGTGTTTAATGATGGCTCCACAAGAGATCTGTTGAGCTTGACTGGGACAGTACCAGTGAGCTACAGAGGTAAGTTAGCAGTCATTACAATCATATTATAAGTTTTTCTGACACAGAAAAACATGGTTGTTAAAAAAGTGCAAATAAAAGGTTATTAAAAACCAAATTCAATTTAAGTGTATTTTTATGCAATATATATGTTTGTTCAGCATTGAATGAGTCATTTACATGTGTATTTCTTAATAATAAATCCCCTGTGTAACTTGGATAATGTTGTTTTGCTTTTTCTTCTTACCATTTTATAAGGGAACATATTAAGATTAAACATTTTTAAGATTAAAAAATTAAACAATACTGGATATCATTTTCTGGACCATATCACTCACACCTTATGACTTTTTTATTTTTGTTTTAGGCAATGTTTACAACATCCCTGTGTGTCTGTGGTTGTTAGACACATATCCATTCAACCCTCCTATCTGTTTCGTCAAACCAACTAGTGCCATGATGATTAAAACGGGCAAACACATTGATGCCAATGGCAAAATCTACCTGCCCTACTTACACGAGTGGAAGCCAGTAAGTGATAGATTACACCGATTGTAAAATTATGACACATAAGTTTGGATACAAAGGAAAGTCAATCGATCATAAAGACTGTGTGTCAATGTCCATAAAAAAATAATCTAAAATAATCTGTCAATCATTTGTATGTTTTGGATTTACCTTTTACTTAACCTTGGTGTTCTGTTTTGCAGAAAGTGTCAGACCTGTATGGTCTTATTCAGGTGATGATAGTGGTGTTTGGAGAAGAGCCTCCTGTGTTTTCCAGGCCAACTACTCAAGCCCCTTACCCATCCTTCCAAGCAACTGGACCCCCAAATGGTGAGTGACATTGATGTTGTAAATGAGGGAATTCTGTTTTTCTTAGATTTTCTGTTTAAATTAGAACACCAGGATTAGTACATGCTGCTTTTGAAACAGGTTTGTGCTTTTGGAGTTGTAGCACTAGATGGCGCTAATAGTTCATCGTCCGAATGTGACAGACTGCCTATAAAAGTGAAAGTCATGACTGACCAAAGACCTTATTGTTTCTCTCTCTTTCTTGCTCTTTCTCCCTCCCTCCCACTTCCTCAGCTTCCTACATGCCTGGCATGCCTGCCGTATCACCGTATGGTTCCACTGCTAATCCTGGGTAACACACCAAGAAATGCTCAGAACTATCACAGACAAGTTGCATTGTGCAGTTCTATAACAAACCTGTCCTGACATGACTTTGTGGTTTTGATTGGATCACATCACACAACTGTATTTTGTGTCTGAAACTCTATAAACAAATCACCTCTAGTTACTTGAAGTAATGGGCACAGTTTTGAGTTCAAAAGTAGTAACCATGAAGTTTGTCTCTTTATTGCTCATCTCTTTCCAGAGGCTATCCAGCATACCAGTACCCAGTCAGCAACTCCTATTCAGCCAATGCAGGCCCTGCACATTACCCCAGTCAGCCCTCTGTCTCCACAGCTGGTATGTTAAGTGAGTGCTAGTGTACAGGTTTTGCTTCATCTTATGATAATGTAAAATAAGGTTCACTGAAACAGTAAATTCGTTTTTGTCACTATTTTACTTGACCTAATTTCTGATAGCGTCTAGTTTGTTATGGTTTACAGCAAAGTAAAAAGAGCTGGAAACTTTGCCCTTACATTGGTTGTTAGTTAAGGCTGAGTTTAAGACAGATGACCTTCCGAGTCAGAGATGCTGCTTGGTGTCCTTAGCTGCCACTAAAAGGTCAATACTGTAACCAGAGTGGGGGGTGTTAAAGGCCAAAGGGTAGGAGTATCAGTGAACCTGGCATCAGCCTCCTTACTGTATACGTCTGGTGTCCACAGTATTTTATATTTAGGATCAGAACAGTGACCTCACACAAAGGCAGAGGTATGATTACGGTGCCAACAACACTTGAGTGCATGAAGCCCGATCAAGGTCTGGTTTCGACGAGGGGTTTAGTCGTGTCTCCTCTATTTTTAGAAGAGTGGAGAAAAAGGCAACACAAATTACTGATGTTTTAAATGGTACACTCTGACATTTGTCACACTGACTCTGGATGAGGCTTTATATCAGCTAATATAAATGACCCTATGTAAAGTCCAGTGTTGTTTCATACAGTAAATGTCAGTATATCTATGTTTGTTTGTATGTGTAATAGCTGTGTTTTGTATCATTTTATTGAATTATCTAAATTGTAATTCAACAGAATATGACTTCTATATTAAATGTGTACTACTATCCTGTGTAGGATCCAAATGACAATATTTTACATTCAAATTACAGTATTGTACAAAGGTTTAGTTGTGTATATAGATTTTCTGTATATCCAACTTATCACTAGCCTTTTCTTATCACAAAGCTATTGTTTTTCACAGCTATAAATTTAAGAATATAATTTCTGACCTCACAATATGTTGTCATGTAGCAACATGCATTACATTAGAAAAGTCTTATAGCACAAGAAGTATAATGATCTTCTAGTTTCAATTTACTTATGTAGTATGAAACCTGGGCCTAGTTAGTTGGATACAAAACTGTCATTCTTACAGTCCTTTTAGGGGTTAAAAGATGACTCAATTGCATCTGCTTAACACATAATTTGTTATAGTCTTATTTGATCAAATATACACTGTTGATGGTATTGCAGTATACAGTATATAAAAAGGTACGCATGTATTTAATTCTTCACTCCTTTTTGGCATTACTTGTTAGGTCCGAGTCGGGATGGCACAATCGGAGAGGACACCATTCGTGCATCTCTGATTTCAGCAGTGAGTGACAAGCTTCGCTGGAGGATGAAGGAAGAGATGGACAGAGCTCAAGCCGAGCTGGATGCTCTGAAGAGGACCGAGGAGGACCTGAAGAAAGGACATCAGAAACTGGAGGAGATGGTCTCAAGGCTGGACCAGGAAGTGGTGAGCCACTGTTCTTATCTTTTTTCTTTTATTTAATGCATCTTCTGAATCTGTTATGGTAAATGTCTTCCAGTCTGAGGTGGACAGGAATATCGAACTGCTGAAGAAAAAAGACGAGGAGCTTATCGAGGCTCTAGAAAAGATGGAGAACCAATCGGAGAACAATGACATTGATGATGTCATTGTTCCGACAGCTCCGCTTTACAAACAGATCCTAAATCTGTATGCTGAGGAGAATGCTATTGAGGACACCATCTTCTACCTGGGAGAAGCCCTGCGCAAGGGTGTCATAGACCTGGAAGTTTTCCTCAAGGTGATCACATCAGTACTTGACAAACACAAATAAATGAACTGAAGCAGGGAGGTATTTTACACTTTTTACTTTCTTTTTACAGCATGTCCGCCTATTGTCCAGGAAGCAGTTCCAGCTTCGAGCCCTAATGCAGAAAGCCCGCAAGACTGCTGGCCTCAGTGACCTCTACTGACCCCTACACATGCTTCCATTTTTCAACTCCTCTCTTTTCTGCTCGTTATTTTATTCCCCATTCATTTTCTACTCCTGTTTTGAACATCTGCTGGAATCATCTTTGTAACATCTGTGAAGCAAAATCACAACCAGTGGAGTGCAGGGAGCTTTTAAACTGTTTGGCCATCGTTGAAATGTGACACCATTTGTAGTTTGATCCGAACAAAATTTGCCCCTGACATTGTCAGGCATAAGCTGGACATACACTCACTCACACTCTTGTGTACTTTTTTAGGGATCGAAAAACACAAACGTTGTGTCAAGCAGGTCGAGACAATGAAAACCTGCTCGTACCGTCGGGTCATGTGCCGTGACTGCATAACGTGACCTGTATGTTGCTGTTGTTGTAGCTTGGCGTGTGTGTGTGGTCACCTGTACACGCTGTACCGCAGCGTGGCTCGCAGGTTCTGTTTGCCAGACAAAGTTATTTGGCTAGTAAGCACAAATTGTTAGGGGCAAAAGATAGGGGCGAAGGATAGGGGCTTTGCGGAGGATCCCACTTACCCAGAACCAGTCTGAGTGTAAAGGTTAGACTCTGATATAAATACCCAGAGTAACCTTTGAGAAGGGTTCAGGCTTCAGGATTGACCGCTGTATGAAGCCTGGGTTGTATTCTGCTACGAGGACGTGGGTTGAATTTGAAGATAAAAGTGGAAACAGAGTAGTTATTAGAATTCCTGATTATTTTCCTACGAAATATATGTCCTCCTGATCAGTTTTTGTCTTTACAACCAGCCCAATGTTTTATTGTGAGTCAGCTGTTCAAGTCCAAACTCCTCACTGCATTGTTATTATTCCCATGTTCCTTTAAACTTTGTACAAACAATAATTTTGGGTATTGCAGAGGAAAATATATTTTATCTTTTTTTCTTTTCTCTTACTTGATTTAAACTCAGTCCACCTGAGTAGTTTTCAGTCTTGTGAATAAACTCGTCAGTACTGTATTACTGATCCAAAAGTTAACTTATGTAAAGTCTGCAGCAGGTCTCATTTGAGTTGGCCTTTTACTAAATGCACTTTGAACTGTACGATAGTAATGTCTGCTGTTTTGCTCATTTCTTGTTTCCAAATCCACCACCTGTTCTTTTGTAACTGTAGAATTATGTAAATCAGTAAAAAATAAAATCTGACTTAATGACGGATGTTTCACTACATGTCAATATTTGTAATTAACAAAAATGTTGAGCTTTCTTCTTTTTTTATTATTTTTATTATACTTTTTTTTCCTCATAGATTTAATATTGCATTATAAAAGTAGGGCTGTGGGCATTCAGAGAAATGATAGTTAAAGGACAGAGATATTATTGAATATAGTACTGTGCTTCATTCGACCAATGCAAAAACATTGTAATCCAATTAATCTAATCTAATTACAAATCAATTAACCTGAATAATTAATTAATCACTTTGACGTCCCTTAATAAAAGTAACAGGTTTTTACTATCTCCCATAACGTTACTCCTTATGTGCATTTTGTCATTGATAATGTATGACAATTTTTAGATAATAAATAACCAAACTGTTTTGTTATAAGCTTGTTAAAAGGTTGTGTAGCAACCATGTAGCAACCATGACCAGCAACTCTTTAATGACATTTTAACCAGCAGAACATAATTTTCTGCAGATACAGTGTCTGCCAAGCCCCATAAAGGCAGGGGTTAATGTGGCTGTTTGACAGCCCAATATGTAAAATTACTTCACCTAGTTCTTTATTATTGGGGTCTGAAAATAGCTGTGTAAAAATTGTTTGTGTAAACTGTTTTTAAAAATAATACCTTTTTTTACTTATGTAGTGATTGCCACTTGTGTAACTCACTCCAACTTGTCCATTCTTCTTCTTTCAGCTGTTCCTTTCAGGAGTCACCATGGTGGATCATCTGCCTCCATCTCACAGCCTCACCTGCCTACTCAGCTTTTACTCCAACCGTCTTATCCGAGGTAATCTTCTACTCTAACTCTAACTCTAACATCCTTTCTCTGATGTATTCACCATCTCACCCTCACCTATTCCACATTTAAAGTTGCTCTGCCTGCCAACTAGTTGGTGAGATTTTAAGCGATACCTCGGAATGAAGAAACAAAACCTATTTTATTCATGGGAGACGGCGACATAACCACATAATGCCTAAGGTCCAGGATGTCGTAAACCAGGGACCCCGTAATGGTTATTTCCTTCACAATGAAATTGTAGTCGCTGATTTTCCAACTGTTTTCTAATAAAGCTGATGAATGTGCTCAAAGTTTTTTAGTGACAATGAAAGAACAAAAAGCAGAAGTCAGGACACACCTGTTTCATCATCATCATCCTGGCAGGTTTATTAGATGTTATGGCAAATAAAGTCTCCACACCTTGCTGCCATGATCATGAGTACGAGTAGGTAATTAATCAACCACATCTAACTTTGTAACGGTACATAAATAGATTTTATGAGTAAAGGTGGATATAAATAGGACTATTTTCTTAATTTTTTTTTCCTTTAAAGAGTCAGTAAAATAAATATAAATTCTTTGAGGGGATTAGTGGAGTGTCAAGTAGCCACACACTCTTCATGTAATCTACAATTCATGAGCTGAACTCAACATCACCTTTCCGGTGTGACCAATCCTAGGAGCAGTTTTCCCTTTGAATAATATTTCATTTCTTTTTATCAGTGCACTTGTGGTTTGGTTGTCTGTAAAGGCTTCTGTGTTGACCACTACATTGCTCAGCGTTGCTACACGTGTTTTTTTAGAGTGATAAAATACTTTGGTATCACTGGAGTTTGGCCCAATGTTTAAACTGTATTTACAGCAACGCAGCTATGACTCTAGGTAGGTAGGAAGCCTTCCTAGTAGAGAATGGAATGTCTCCACTGTCAAAAAAAAAATCAAGGAGTTTACCAAGTGAAAATCACAACTGGTAACAATCAGGTTACAGATAGTACGCAACAGGGGTAGGAGGACGGAGTGCACAGCAGTAACAGTACAATGACAGTATCAGTACAATGTTATACAGTGGAACACAGCAGTAGACACTTACTAGCGGAGGCCCAAGAGACAGGACGACACAAGGAGATAATGTTTACCTCTAGTAAAGGCCGAGTACAGATGCTAGAGATATTTGTTGTTTCTGTTAAGTGAGGTTTTACAGCGAGGAAAGCAGAGGTGAGAGACAATACTGGAGAACAACCGTCCATCTGAAACCAAAACAAAGCTTTCTTTGATTTAGCTACAAACACTTGGCCTTTTTTTTTTCTTTTACACTTAAAGATCTCGACTATCCGTTGTGGTGGTGAGGGACACAGAAGGTGCAGCGCGGCGGGAAGGCGACCACCACAGTCCTTGGCGTTGTTCCAGGGAGGATCTCTCTTCACATGGTAAGATCCTTCTGTACGGACCACAGGGTCTCGGCGCTCTTCACCAGCTGCTGCTCCTCATCGGACTTCAGTGTCATGTGGACTACATCTGTCAGGCCACTGTTGCCCAGGACACAGGGGACGCTCAGGAAGACCTCGTCTTTAATGCCATACATGCCCTGACACATTAGAAAAAGACAGATAAGCCGCAAATACAAGGCGAGGACAACTCTCAGCTCTGCTGTGAATGACTCTCTGTATACTGTTAAAAATGTAATGTTGTTTGATTCAAGTGGTGTGGATCCCCCGTTACACCTCACGCCAGGCAGACTGGCAGTCTACATCAGGGATGTCCACACTTTTTTACTATTAGAATGACTAGGCAATTGAAATTGTTTTATATATATTTACTCATATAAACTTACATACAAACATACATTATATGTTTGGATACTGATTAAACAAATGTTGCTATATGGTACAATTTGATTTAATTCATACAGTATATGGTTACTTACTGCGCACTGTAAAAAACAAGTGAATACAAAAAGAAGCAATTACATATTAATGTTGCACTGTACTTGTTATATTTTATCATATTTTTTACAGCTTTTAATTGTTTTAGATTTGTGTGTAATTGATCTAAATGTGAGTTGTTGCTCTTTTTCTCTGCCTTGAGTGTAAAATAGGTTTTATGACTCAAGAAGAATTTCTCTCTTTTCTAGGTAAAGTTGTTGCCACACAACTCTGATGTAAGATTTGCTCAACGGTGAAATCAGCACATTGATGTAACACAAAGAAACCTCACCTTCACCAGTGTGGACACAGGGTGGACTCTGCGCATGTTCTTGACAATGGTCTCCACCAGATTAGCCACAGACATGCCAATAGCCCAGGAGGTGTAGCCCTTCAACTTGATGACCTCATAAGCTCTGAATGGAGTACAACAACAGAGAAATGTTTAAATCAAGAAAAAGTTATAACCTCTAGACCAGTTATTACCAACCACCCATCAGGAGTACTTTCTTCAATTCCAGCGAGTATATCAGGTGTTTACCACAAAAACGAAGCACCAAGTTGGTTCTGAAACTGTTCAATTATCACTGCATTTAAGGTTTTTTTATACCATGTCTAACCTGTGTAAAAACCTTTTTAACCAATTTAATTTAACAGTGTATTTGTTAGTTTTTTTGTTCCACCTCCTCTTCTGGCTGTTTGGCTTCCCTGGATACGTAAATTCCTGACAAAGGCCAGGCAGCAGCATACCAACATTATGCAGATGGTTCAATCAATGATAAGTCTGGCACACAAGTTAAGGCCAGTTTTTAAATAGTTCTCCATTAGTACTGGAATTAAAACACACACTCACCCATCAACAACCTTCTTGTGAACATCCTTCCATTTCTCACTGTCACTCTCAGTCCCAATGTTTGGATTGAGGCTCTGCAGGGAAACCCCAGCAACATTGACACCGCTCCACACAGGCACTGTAAATAGCCGACAACTTTTTATGTCATACATTTATAAACACAGTAGAAGAGTGTTTAAATATTGAAGAGGGAGGATTTTTTTTCCATTTTTAGTTGCGACTGCTTACCACTAGAGTCTCCATGCTCCCCAACGATCCAACCGTGGCAGCTGGAAGGATGGAGGTGGAGCTTTTCTCCCATGAGGTGACGGAAACGGGCAGAGTCCAGGTTGGTGCCAGAGCCAATCACTCTGTGACGGGGAAAACCACTCAGTTTCCAGGCAACATAGGTGAGGATGTCCACTGAGAGGATAACGAATAGAAGAATGAACAGAATGTTATTCAATGTCCTACATTAAGACACCACTGAATAAACTGGGCCTCAGTCTCACCTGGGTTGGACACCACCATCAGGATGCAGTTGGGGCTGTACTTGACAATGTTGGGGATGATGAACTTGAAGATGTTGACGTTACGCTGCACAAGGTTGAGGCGGCTTTCGCCCTCCTGCTGACGAGCACCGGCGGTCACCACCACCACCTTGGAGTTGGCCGTCACACTGTAGTCTAGTCACAAATAGAAGGAAAATGTTGTCATGTTATGTGGAAGAACTGTACCACTACATCAAATTAGAGCTGTTTCTGTGACCTCCAACCTTTGTCAGCTACGATCTTGTGTGTCTTCAGGAAGAGAGATCCGTGTTGCAGGTCCATGGCCTCACCCTTCAGCTTGTCCTCCATCACATCCACCAGGGCCAGCTCATCACACAGGCCCTGATTAAACACAAATAGTAAGTAGAAAGCCTTTTATTAAAATGTAACATTCACTTGACTCAAAACAATATTCAATTCCATTTTCCATTTTACCCTTTCACAATTGTGAAGAATCTCTACCTCACAGTTCACACTTTAAACGTTCGGTTGATATCAGATTCATAAATCTTTATTGATACTGCATAAAGACATTTTGCCCAAGTTCATGTTTACTTTATGGAGTTCATCCCACATTCTTTTGTCCCTTTTTGACCAATAAAACACAATAAAAACCTTGTCATTGAACAGAACCGCCCACTGTCTATTTCCTCATCCGACACTATAATGTAATATTGCATTTCTCTTGCCTCACCTGTAGCAGTACACTCATGGCAGAGGCCATGCCGACCATGCCAACGCCCACCACGGTCACCTTGCTCCTGCTTTCAACTGGAACATCTTTCACCACGCTTTCAATCAGCTTCTCCTTGGTGGACATCTGAGGGAAGGGGGAAATCACAAGAAGGTAAGACAAAAAGACATTTTAGTCGGTAAAACTACGTCGTCAGATGCACACTCTCTCTGCCTTTGTGCTTTAGATTCCAGGATATTTTATTCCATTTGTGGGCATCTTGGAGTTGCTATTAGCATAGCAAAGAATCCCAGAACTTAGGGGTGATTGAACACACCCCAGACCTGGGGAATTAGTTAACCAAATATTGACATAAAGTACATGAAGTGAGGGATGAGAAGAGTGAGAGTGAGAGTGGAAGCTGTACACCAGTGCTGCATTATGCATGCAGCAGGTAGAAGCAGGCCCACACAGCAGCGTACGTGACTTCTTTCCTCTTCTGCGGTGAAGTCAGACTCAACTTTCTCTCTGACTTCAACAGTGACACACAGAAAGGGAACTGTCAGTGAATTCAAACCAGACATACCGTTAGTTCCTGTTTCAGCTCTCTCCCTCTGTGTCTCTTCAGTATTTCCCTTCATAAATGGATCACTGATGATACTTCTCTTTGCAGTGACTCAGTGTGCATCACCATGGCAACCACTGTCTGGGAAAATGTACTGCAGGCTGCGAACGTGCAGGACAGACCATCCTCAGCTCACGTCGCCAACAACTATTTACGTTTCCTGCAGGGGGTGATGTGGTGCTCACCCTTAAAGGCTCTTACACCATCAGCTTCAGCATGCTCATGGTGTCTCACCGTCTGGGGGACACGGTGTACACAGTGGATGCAGAGTAATACACTATCGTGAGAGGATATTCTGGAACCTTCCTTAAAGGTGAGGTTGCACACAACACTGAGATAAGGAAAATAGGACAGCCATACCTTATATCCCTTTATCCAATTATCTCTTCCCTGGATAAGACGTGAGAACTTTCAACACAACAGGATCTGACCTGACTCTGTGGTCAGCTGTGTTTGCTCTTCACCAAAGGAACCATTGTTTCCCGTTACTGTAAAGAACCTTCCCTTTCGCAACGCACTGTCCCAACTTTGTTTATACTCTTTTCTTATTTAGCACTGTGTTCAAATTAAGGTTTAAGGAAAGGACTCTTTAGGAGCTAACATTTTTTTCATAACACAGAGCAAAGACTACAATTACAACTAGTTTTCTTCACATTCAGTGGAAATCAGTGTGACGTGTCCAAGAAGTTGCTGTTGAAAATAACGAATAATTTTGCAGTAACACATTAAGTTACAAAGTTTTGTTCGTCTTTGTAATAAGCATGTGGCCCACCCTACAGATATCCCTTCCTGAATCCTGATTCTATGGCTACTGCACAGGGACCACAAAAAATGTTGGCTAAGATCCAGCACATTATATAATACCCTTGTTTCAATTGGCTTTAACAGTAAGTAAAATATGTAAAGAAGCAACAATTAGATTATTATACCCGGGAAGAAGTAAAGACTATTTGAGAATCAATATATTGTGTATCCGAAGTGATCTCAAACGTGAACTATACGCCGTAAAAAACTAGTTTCACTTATTTTTATTACCAGTATTGCTAGTAATCCGTGTTTGTGCCAGCAGAGGTCGCTCCAGGTACCACATACATGGGTGCAATGACCGCAGATAAAAAAAACCCAACGTTAATCGCCGTTTCATACATCAAAACCTCCCGATACACGACATTATATTGAACGCAACACGCCTATGACAAAGTTACTGATTTTCTAATTGACGTGAGCACATTTGAACACATATTCATTCTATATTTACAGCCATTATATTAAAAATTAAACGGAGGTCTGCTCAGACTGCCCACTAACGTGCTTATCAAACGTTCCATCATTATAGCAATGCGGCAAACGTGATCGGTATTAAAAATAAAAGCGAGACTGATTTAAATCCATTAGGCAGTTTGTTTTAATTATTTTAATGTGAGCAAATGTGTCTGAGACCACGACCATGGCAGTGATGTTGACTTTTGACAACTGGATCTAATAAAAAAGTGCGCATCAGGTTGGTCAGGTCCTCTCCTCACCCCTCTTTCGCTTAAGAAGAATGAAATGAAGCAAGATACAAAAACCTGCAGTAACCACAGTGGCGCGATCCATTTATTTAAAATAAAATCTCATCTTACCTTTAGATTTTGGTAGAAAGCCTGGTAACCACAGATAGGATGACTCTCACTGGCAGAACGGCCTTTCCGCTGAAGTAGTGCGACGGAAGAAAGGGGGCAGGTACGCGGTATTTAAGCACAGCCTACTGCATGGATGTGACGTAGTTACATGCATAATGAGATCGGGCGGGCCGAGGCAGAGGAGCATGTTGCAGGTCACGTCTCACTCCACGGGCAGGATGCGGTGCTGAGTCAATACACATCCTGTATGAGATCAACTCATGGTTTTTCACAGTCAGATTTGAAGTTGCGTAAGTTGTCCTTCAAGTGTTCTTTATGTTAAAATAGCCCGTATGTGAGGTTAATAGGTTGAGCATCCTTATTTTTTTCTCAACAAAGTTGAATTAAGTCCAAACGTCTACGTTATTTTTTAACTTTCCTAAACCAAGCTTAGGTTATTATTATTATTATTATTTTCAATATTACCTTAAATATCCTATAGTGAGGCCCGCATAGTAAGCAAACCAAATGTTTAAATGTTTGAAAGATTTATTACATTTATTATGGTATCCTGGGAGGTTTTCAAGCCCATAGATAAACACTCTAACATAATATATATACGTATATATATTATTTGTATGCAAAGGTGTAACCACGTACAGGTGCTGTACATAATGCTCATATGCGCTGACATGTCCATGTTCAGTTTCATTGTATTCCAGCCAATATTGGTATGTAGGCCATGTATGAGGACTAAAAAGTAGAATTCACTCAAGGTTTGTTCTTTGCTCAGGGGACGAAATACATTTTCCTAAGTTTGTGAAGGAGAACTAGTATTCAAACAGGCCACACTACTACTACTACTACTACTACCACTACTTGTGCTGTTCAAATAGTCCCAGGAAGACATTTTAGGCCTGTTTGAAAATTGATATTAAGTATTGATTTTACTTTAATATCACAAATATTAGGGAAACACGAATTTGACGCGCAGATAGTCTCTAACTAATAGTCTGAGAGTTTACCTGTTCTTCCAATGTGTCAGAAATTATTATTAAATATATATTTTCAACAAGATTAGAAGTTTCCCTGTTTTAAACCACATTTTAATGAACAAACACTTAAAGTATATCATAATGTAACTCTGTTGTAACACTCAAATACTGCACACACGTGTCATGTATGTGCTATTTTGGAAATAGTGGCCACCGACGACAAAACATGAATTAAACTTTTCTATGCGCCTCCTGCTGGTTAAATTACGTTAATACAACTGTACTTCTGGTTTCTAACCTGAGGCAGAGACCTGATTAAAACTACAATGGGTGTGTTGAAATAGTTCCAGTGAAAAGAAATCAAAACCTTTTGTGCTGCAAAGGAACAAAAGGTCATGACCTGTCTCTAACCAGTCATAGAGATACACTACACAAACATTTACACAATAGTCATTTCTTTTGGTCCTTTTTCAAGAGAAATGTGGAAGAACTTGTACAACAGTTTGACTTAACTCAATTATTTTTTAAAAAAGTAGATCACCACTATCATGCAATGAATTCTTAACAATGAAAGTCTAAACAAGTGGTATTTCCATCAGACAATTCTACATTGTAGATTTCTGTGACCTCTGTCTTTGCATCTTGCAGTATTTCAATAAAAAAAATTAAGTTGAAGTAACACATTACATTTTACAGTGTTGTAATACTGCAGACCACCTCTGACTGTGACACCTCAGCTGTGTGGGACCTTCACTATTCTGCTTCTCTTGCATCTAATTCTAATAAATCCCATTTTTTTGTTGACCTTACATCGTCTGGTAGTGCTGTGATAATTCTGGTCTTTGATTCGTCTTCTGTTTCTTGGAGCTGCAGGTTCTTTTTTTTAATTCTTCACTGCTGCTTTATGTTTTGTGTGTTTTGTGTTCCCGTTAGAACGACTGCTTCTCTGTTTCCAATGACTACTATAGGATATTTTCTTACTTTACAGAACTAATGCAGGAGGTATTTTATCCCCTCCTTTGCTATAAGTGCTTGAACTCTGGTCCTTAACGGCTACTTCAATATTTGGTCGTAATACAATAACCTCGCCAGCAGGTGGTGCTCTAATAAAGCCAATGGTACTCGCTCCATGCTTTTTATCACTATAGTCTCCTCTGCCTAAAAAACATTACATTTTACATACTGCTAAAAATCTTTCTTAAATATATGTTTTTGCATTTCACCCATTTTTAACCTTTAAATTAAACGTTTTATTTGTTTATTCGTTCTTGTATTACTGTTTGTAAGGTTGATGATTATTGATGAAATTGAGAGAATTGTCAATACAATAACATGCACGGCGAGACATTCACAAGTATTTTTCTATTCTTCTAATTCCAATTCTAATTGTACATTTTCCATAAACAACATCTCCCTTATTGGCCATCCATTCCGTGAAACACCTCCTAGTGTCCAGACAAATGTATATATTTACAGTCAATCCCATGCTGTCCAAGAAAATAGACGAAGAAAACGGACCGCGGACCAGTACCAGTCCATAGGTCATTTGGTACCGGGCCGCAGTGGGAGTACTTAATTTTTACTAATTTACTTAATTCAAAGAAAATCTTGTCATATCCATTTACTTTCTTTATTTAAAGATAATCTGGCAATATTTTAAAATAACAGGTCATTCAGACAGATACTAACAGAATAGAAGTCTAAATGTTTTTATTTTGAAAATTGAATGATCCTTCAATGCTCAGCACCTTAGTACAGGTCTGTCGTAACAGACTACGTAATACATGTTTCTGCAATTGAATACTATTTGATTGATTATAAAAACTTTTTTAGGTTAAGAAACTCTGCTGCATGGGCTTTACTAAATGCTTTTTAAGCTCCCGCGGACCACACAAAGTGGCTTGGCGGGCCGCATTTGTTTGTACTCTTCTGTACAAACACCATCTATCCAATGCCCAGGGACTTGAGAAGAGATGAAAACACCAGTGAAATGTGTTAAGGTGCCTCTGTGTGTAATGAGGTGACAGAAAAAAAAACAAGACCGATGAAGCCGTGGGTGGAGTCATACCTCATCTCCTGCAATTTAATGTTCTCAGTCTGCCTACGGCCATGTACTCCGAGTTTCCCATACTTGTTTTTGCCACAAAATGAGTCGCCTCTGTCCATGTCCTCCGTCAACATCTTTCAATGCTCTCGAGAGTCTATGCCAATTCAGTCACAGCTTAGCCACCCCCCACCCCCCACCCCACCCAGTCGTAGACAGAAACACACGTTTGTCATAATGGCTTCCTCTCTCGCACCACAGGCTCGGTTGCCAACATGCTATTATTGCACAGGGCTTTGGGACTGACGTATGTCTGCTGTGGGTGATAGTACCTGTCTTCTCCTGCTGTGTAATGCAGAGGAATCTAATCACCTTGTTGCAGTTGCCTCCTCCTCATCCTCTGACTCCCCTTCCTCTTCTTTGAAACAGGTCTGAGAGCTCAGAACAAACTACATCATCCATAAAAGGAATCTCCAGGGAAACAAGATCACTCCACCAAGGTGGAGCTGATGTTGGACCTGGATACACTCTCAGTCACAAACCCTCAGATCTTGTCTGGTTCCCCTTGGTTCTTGGTTCTACCTCCCCAGCCTTTCAACGTGATTTAAAACCACCCTTTCATCATGTTGTAACTTGTGAGGCGTTTCCCTCCTATCCTAACTCTAATTTGTCCCTCTCCTCCCTTCTCTTCTCTGTTTTACTCTACAAACACCTTCTGCCTACCACTGATAGCATCCCTGATGGAGCTCCTTTATTAGCCACCCACAGGCAGATTAACCAGAGCAATAATACACCAATCAACAGCAATTATGCGCTGATAAGCTCAGGGAGGGCCCTGCTGGAGACAGGGAAGGACGGAGCAGTTGTGGAAGGATCAGTGTGTGTTTTAGAGCACTATTAAAGATGATGTAGCTGTAATCTAGATGATGTAGTGTACATTTAGTCTTCATGCATCAATGTTTCTTCTTCTTGGACATTGTGAGATTAATTGTTGATTTTTCTTTTCACCAGTATGCCAGAAAGTGGGTCACAAACTCCACGTGCATTATGGGAGATGCAGTTTATGATAATTCAGTGAATGTCCTCTTTTGGTGTTTTCTAAAAATGTTTTTTTTTTTAATACATGTAACGCCATATGGAATAGAAAATGATATATGCAAGTCAGTATTACTTAAATATTAATTTACAAGTATATACCAGTATTGCAATTAATGAATAGTTAACACAGGCAATTTTATAGTGAAAAAGCTCATAAAAAAGACAAGCATATATTGTACCTAGGATATAGAATATTATGGTAAAATATATACATAACATTAAATGTAATATGATGTTGTGGTTATTGCACTGATTACTGTTGGGTTTTATGTATGTTGCACTTTTTAACCACAAATTCCGATGGGATCAAGATCTCTTTCATAAGGATAATGTGACCTCATAGCCAAAATGCTAACTGGAATAAAAGTACAGTGCAGTATTTTTTTATATTAATTAAAGATAAGGTAAATAAAACAAAGCCATCCTCCATGTCCTGGAGGAGAACATTGAGTCATTGCTCTCCTTCACAGGTCTGAATATTTCTGAAGATAAAAAACCCAGTTGACATGAAAGACAGATATTGAATACATATGTTGTGATAATCTAATCAAGGCCTGGAGATCCATTCTGTCCCCATTACTTTATTTACAACCACTTTCTCTCCCTGTGTCTGTACTTTTAATTATTATTGTTTTTTTTTTAACTTTCCAGCTTCAGCAGCAGCCTATCGTTGTTGTAGGGCAGCTAAACGATGATGAAAACAAGTAAATGGGTTAGTTCACCGCCTGCAGGCAGTCACGAAGCAGCCAACTCTGATTTTAAGGACAGCTGTGTGGATTTAAACATTTCCCACCCACACACATGCAAATGTGTGTATGTAGAGCCATTAGATT